TACCTTCTATTGGCTCCATATTTGGCGAAAGATTGCTTCCCACACTTCACAGTGAAGTTATATTTTCAATTTCTGGCTGTGAAGGAAAATGTCTGGCCAAGCCTTAGAATTTATCAACTCTGGAATCAACTCAGAGATGTAATGAGTCCATTTGGGATCAGATCAGGTCCGAAGCCCCAGTGGAACCAAAATGTCATTTATTTTCTACACACACACACACACACACACACACTCACACACACACACACACCCCTCTAATAGTGTAAGAGTAGTAGTAGCATTTTTGCCCTACCGTGTATATCAATTTCCCTTTGCCATTGAAATATTCTGCTCCAATGAAACCATCAAAATATCCAAACCTGGAATTTTTCACTGGTTTAAAGTGCCATAAAAGTACCTATAAAGTAATTGAGGTAAACTCGTGATTCAAGTACAACCCTAAAGATTTCTTATTTCTTTTTTTTCCTTTCTGAGTTGAATTGGTTCCAGACATTATTATAATATCATTTTTCAGAGTTCTATAAATAGATGGATTCTCATTTCTCCGCTTAAGCACTGTTTGCTAAATGTTTTGGCCCAAAAGTTCAGTCATTCCATGCAAGCATTAATCAATACAGGAGACATTAGTGGTTATTCACTCATATGAGATTTGACATCATTTTCCCTCAGCTTATAGGGAAGGGTAGGGAGTGGTACCTAAAAAAGATGAAGGGTCTTTTCTTCTTTGGTATAAGATGCAAATGATAAAAACATGTGTGATATACATTTCTCTAATGTCAGCCTGCTGCTTTGTGTTGAGAAAGAGAGGCAAAGCCCTGGAGGATTTTAGACTTTGTAAATATAAAATTATCTGCCTTGGTGTTTAAAAAAATAATAAAAGGGAGAAAGAGTTGGCAGGTTGCCAGATTACTTACATTACTGTAATAGATTTGCTGACCTCTGACTTGTGCTGTAGAGAAATGTATTGAATTTTTTATAATATCAGATGAGGCAGATCTAAAAAGCTAGTATACCGAGCACCATTATTTAACTTGAGATTTAGCAAAGCTGAAATCTTTTCAAACCAGCAATTTCATATATGATGATAATTTACCAGCTCAAACACTAATAAATCAAGGGTTATAATGCCATTGATTGGTTAATTTTAACTTGGGTTGATTTTTAAGTCTTCTTTATTTAAAAAGGAGGAGAAGAATGAGAAGGAGAAAAAAAATCTTGCTTTTCACAGTGACTGAATTTAATAAGAATCTCCGTGATAGCAAAAGGCTCCCCTACTGTTTCTGCTTTGGGGTGGAAAATGTTATTCTTGTATTATTCCAAGGGAAAAATAAAATCTCATGCTGCTACAAATCTTGTGCCTATGAAAAGATGTTATTTTTTAATACATGATGGCTTACCTATTTCAGATCCATTTAATGGCATCATAAATAAGCATTTTGCTAATCTGAAATGTGAAATCTGGATAATAATAAAGACCCATTTATCTACCCAGCTTTCACTTGCTCAGACTAGATGTAAATCAGGAGAGGAGGGAAAAAAACACTCTCTAGATTTCCTAATAAATATATTGCTTAGCTTGTTCAATTCTTCCAGCCTAATACCTAATACCCAGCCTGCATTCCCAAGACATGCAAGCTCTCCAGTGTAATGACTTCTTTGGAAGCTGGGTGCATTTTTTGTTTTTTATCTATACAATTTGGAAACTGATTAAATCTTTGTGGTATTACAAATATTTGAAGAATCATCATTCATGAGGCATATGCATATTGCATTATACTGGATTCTTGATTGAATTCAAACCTACACAGCATCCTGCATTAGGCAATGCTGACCTTTTATTGGCTAATGGTACTATGTGTACATGGAATGTTGAAATGTTCAGAAACCTTTCATAGCTTTCGTCTTCTTGTACTGTAAAAAATTCTAATAATCAAATGATAAGATCATATCCTGTGGGGTAATTGTGTTGTACCATGACAGGATAACTGAAAAAAAAACATTCAGTGAAAATTATACCAAACGGAAATCGCTCTATGAAACAGTGATTGTTTGTGTGCTGTGCAAAACCCAGCCCCGTTCTTCAGGGCTTAGCTGGTCATATTTCTACTTGTTTCCTTTTAACTGCTGCCTTTCTTGTTTTATTTTGGGAGCCTTTTTTCCCTGAGCCACTATAATTATCTTTCAATGATTTAGCAGGGGAAGAAAAACATTAAGTTGACCTTTAAACTAGCATATTCTCTCTCTCTCTCCCTCCCTCCCTCCTTCCCTCTTTCTCCCTTTCTCTCTCTCCTTCTGCAAGCCTTGAACAAGCAGAGCTAGTGTTGGGATTCAGTTTTACCTTAGTCATGCCTCTTTCCAGATACAAGAAACATTTAATTCCAGATTTCCTGCTTCTGGCTTTAGGCCTTTGACCAGCAAACTGAAATGTATTTTTTTTTCTTTACTGCTGTCAGCCTGCCAGCTGCTGAGCTGAGCGAAAAGAAGGAGAAAAAAATAGTAAAGAAAACTAAAATGATCCAAAACAAAAATGTTGCTCTGCCTCATGAACTTGCAAAATTGTAATATAAAATTAAAGACTCCTTGGTCATCATCTGGAGAGCTGGGTTGGCCCAATACAATCAGAGCCTATGAGGGGGCCTCTAGGGTTCTCTACTTTTTCCCTCATACCCCTCCCTACACTCTATTGCATCCTTCCCCAGAATGCAGGTTCCCTCAATTAGAGAATGGAGGTGGGGGAAGGGTGGGAAGGGTGGTGTCCACAAATGGTAACTGTTGGAATACCCAGGCTTCTGAGCTCCTTGGGTTTCTATGACAACAAAACAAAAGTAAAACAAACCTATCTGCCCAACAATAAAATATGTTTTCATTAAATTCAATTTAAACTATTTTTCCAGTTTCCAAATATTCAATGCATTTTGCTCCTGGACAAAAAAAAAAAAGAACCTGTCCCTGCCAATATTAGAAGGAATAAAGTCCTTGGCAGAACAAGGCAGAGAGAAAAAGAATTAGAGGAAAAAGAATTGGGGAGAAGGTCAGGGACTGTACAGATGAGACAGAGTCAATTCAAGTATGAACAAGATTGCTTTTTCCTCTCTTCTGCTTAGTTATGCTTTTTATTATATAAACATTAACTGCAATATTACAGTGGGAAGCAGGTATCTGGCAGCCATATATTATTTTAGTGTGTCTGCATAGAGAGAGCAGTTTCCAGTTTGAGCAGCTGTAACATGTTTAAACTCAGTTTGTAATGGGATCTGAAGATAACTATTCCCCATGGGCTGTGGTGATCTTCATGGCTGGCCCACTGCCAGTTATGAGGCTCCAAAGTATTATTCATGACTCCATGTCCGAGCATGCTCAGTAAATGGATTTTGTTTCTAATATACTATAAATTTGGATTTGATTTTCCCACAGTTTACTTGATATGTTATCAAACAATGAAGTATTTAGGTTTGCTTCCAAACATGAACAGTTGTATGTGTTTAGGTAGCTGAGATCCAGAATATGTAGTTAGAAATCCATTTTAAAATAGCTAACAACTATTCTAAATTTAGGGAAGTTTTTGCCTGGGTTTAAAATATAAATAAATAAAAACTAGGATTCCCAATATTTAAACAGCTTTCTTGTTGTCTATAAGCCAAGTACATTTTCTTCATTGAGTCAACTTGTCTTATTTAAAACAAATTATGTTGCCGTATTAAAGTTCATATTTTAAAGGCTGAGTCTTGTATTAATCCCACAGTGAGTCATTAATCATACCAAATGCATTATAAAAACTTTAATCACTGAAGTTGAAACTGAGATTGTAATGCAATCCGTGCCTTTTAATTACATCAGCTCTTTTTCCCGTTCAGATCAAGAGCTGGTCGCAAAGGGAAAACAGATTAAAACCAGAGCTGTTTGATGTTTCTCTTTTTAGAGCAATTTTATGCACTTTGTTTAAAAAGTTATGTAATTAAAATGCTTGAATTTTTCAGCCCTCTGATTTTTGTGGCTTCAGTGGTTGGTCTGCTTCCTTTTTGCTGGGACCCTCTTTTATTTGGTACCCCCTAAAAGACCTCGCAGGGCTGGCATAACCTCCTTTTAATTGTGGCCATCTTGGCCACACCCGGCTTGTCTCTACTTGACCTTCTAATCTCAGGTGTTAGGTCTATATTTCAAGCTAAATAAAAATTAAAAATTTGAAGGTAGGCAAAATAGATTGCAAATTCGAGCTCTGAGTGATGTAACCCTTGGGCAAATTATTTAACCATTTCAGTTATATCCTCTGTTATAAAGATAATAATAATAATAATAATATTCCATAGAGATTTGATGGAGATTGTGCAAATGCTCTACATAATATACGTGGCCCTGTACTAGTCTCTCCCAGAATACAATCTTTGAGTATGTGATCCACTGCTGAGTCCTGGAGCTTAGAGCACTTCTTGTCACATAGTAGGTGACTGATAAATAATGATTTGATTGTTGAGATGCTGTTGGCATTTGGCCATGGGCTGTGATGATGCTTCTATTACTGTCCTTGGTATACAGATCCACAAAACCAAAAGGAAGTCTGTCTTGCTGAGAAATGTTTAAGAAATCAAATCCTGCCAAACTGTACAACTTTCTAGAATGCATCCATATGACAGAGTCACTCAACAAGTTAATCATACTATATAGCCCCTCTCACCTCTACTTTTCCTTTCTGGTGCTTCAGTTACCCAGGCCACAGTTGAAAAATATTATGTTAGGTCCTTCAAGAAAGGAGGGCGTCGTCTATATAACTTTTACTTTTGTGTATAGCTACAATTGCTGTATTTTATTATTAGTTATGGTTGTTAATCTCTTAGTACGTCTGATTCATAAATTAAATGATTTCAGGCCTACACTGTGGGACTTGGCACACATCCCCTGAAGATACAAAGAACTGTTCTACTGAAAAAAAATAAAGCAAAGTTTCAGTGTTGATGTTCCTGAATTGGTCAACTGATTTGTCATCTGTTCTGTTCTTCATTTAGATTAATCCTCCCATATGAAAGGTTTATTAAGGGAGAGGAAGATAAGCCCTTGCCTCCAATCAAACCTCGGAAACAGGAGAACAGTTCACAGGAAAATGAGAATAAAACAAAAGTATCAGGAGCCAAACGCATCAAACATGAAATTTCAAAGAGCAAGAAAGAAAAAGAGAATGCCCCAAAGCCCCAGGATACGTTGGAGGTAAGTAGCTATGTTCCACAGAAGACCCATCTCTGAGACACATCAGGACTCCAGGTTTAATAGAATCCAAAGCTGTAGCTGGACTCTTCCTACCTGGCTGATGGCTAAGCTACAAAATCACCAAGTCTGACCCTTGTAGTTCCTAAAAGACCTCCCTAATCCATACAAACTCTTCTTTTTAGTTGAAAACTGAAATATCATGCATAATACAGAATGGGATAGGCCAAGTATAGAGTCTAGAAAGAGGAGAACATTCTGGACAAAACTGACAGGAATTGCTCAGACTTTGAGATAGAAGCAAACATTATAGCTTCTCCGAAACCAAGGCATTCCATCCTGAAGATGTGGTTCCTTGACTACTCCACAGCTTGTTTATCTGTGGAGACTGTGTGATTTTGTAGGGTCCGGGGAGGAGAGCTGTAGAAATTGCTGTGCTGTGTCTCTGCAGGATCTCATGAAAACTTGAGAGGTGTGTTTCCCTCCCATAATTGACCTCCATGCTCCAGTCCTTGGTTGAGACCAATTTAGCAAGATCTTAAGTACATATTGTTTATAGGGGAATTTTGAAGTGGTTTCTCTGAAGCCATTATTATCTCTCATATTAACAGGTAGTTTCTGAACCTTTTAAAACAAGCCTTAGCTATCCACAACCCCCAACAGCTCTTTAGTAGAAAACCCATTACTGTCAGTGCTGAGCCAGTCATGGAGGCTGATCTGGGCTCTGTTTCAACGTAAATTTAAAAAAAGAAAAGGAAGGAGAAGAAGAAGGGGGGGGGAGGAGGAGGAGGTGGAGGAGGAAGAGGAGGAAGAAGAAGAAGAAGAGGACGATGACAGCTGCCCATTAAAAACAACAACAAAAACAACTTAGAAGCCACATTTGGAGACAGCATGTTCTAGGATTCTACCCCCAAGGGAATTTTGGTGCTGATATTAAACACCCTCTAAAAATCAGGTTTATAATGAACACATAAGAGACTCCCTAATTAAACACCATTTCTCTCTCTCTCTCTCTCTTTCTCTCACTCTCTCTCTCTCTCTCACTCTCTCTCTCTCTTTCTCTCTCTCTCTCTCTCTCTCACACACACACACACACACCCCGAACTAGATTTTAACTTTCTCATCTGACTTCTTCCTTGTAAGAAAATAATACTAATACTAAGAGGAGAAATTTGGTTTTTGTGTATATCTTTACATTTATAATTATTTTAAGTTCTAGTCACTTAAAAAGGAAGGGGATGGAAAAAAAGGCAATGCAGACTTCTGAACATCTGCAAGTTTGCAAATAAATGGCCAAAAGCAAGGAAATTCCAAGTTAAGGCTTACATTCCATTCTTCCTTTATCCTGTTGGCCTGGTGATTTATTATAGGGCTCCGGATCAGTGAGTTCTATTAGATACCATATGCAAAATGCTGCCAAAGCATCAGTGGACAAACTGAAGGCTTAGGGGCCAGCTGAAGTCTGAATGCTCCATTTGCCGAAGTTTGAAACAATTGATTTGTTAGCCTTAGAAGGATCCTTAGCTCATATGTGGAGCCATCAGTTATAGAAAAAGACCATTCCTAAGAGAGGAGCTTTGCTCCCCAGAGTCAAGAAAAGCTCTGTCAGCTCCCAGGGTCCCTTGTTTCTTGGAGAGCAGCTGCCCCTTTTCAGGGAGTGGGCTGTAAGTGTATGGAGTTTCAAAGATTGTCATGTGGGGTTATCTAAAGTGCCCAGAATATCCTACCACATTCAAGATTCTAATAAAAGTCACTCGTCACCTCCAAGAGAGACACATGTGATTGACTAGATATATTTCTTGTTAGTGGCTGCGTTTAGAGATTGAGGTTTAGATTTAATTGTCATTTGTTGTTTTTAACTTTTGTTATTGTGTTTTTATTTGTTGTTTTGTGCCAGTCCTGGGGGCTTGAACTCAATACCTAGACCATAAACCTGAGGGTTTGTTTGTTTGTTTCTCAAAGCTAGTGCTCAGCCACTTGAGCTACAACTTTCCTTCCAGCTTTTTGGTAGTTTATAATAAATAGTCTCATGTACTTCCTTGCCCTGTCTGGCTTTGAACCAAGATACTTAGATCTCAGCCTCTTGAGTAGCTAGTATTACAGGCATAAGCCAATTGTGCCTGACCTATTGGCTGTCATTTATTTTATATGAGGTGCTGAACTTAACGGAGATTGGAGGGGTGATAAATCTTTCTTAGTCAAATCTCCAATCTTTAGATATTTAGATTGCAAACTGCATAGTACAAAGCTATCATTTCATACTTAACACCCCGAAGCAGCTCATAAAATACTACCTTATAAAAAAGCCTCTTGCCCTTTTCTGCCTATCTTCCAAAGCCCCCAAACCTATTTTGTAACCAGAAGTGTGAGACTCCAGTGTAGCTGAAGCCCAAAGTCACAGAAATGTCAATGGAGCTGAGTATCTCCCAGCCATACTTCAAACTATAGCCCCACCAGGCTAACAATTAAATGTAATTTGCTTTTGCACTTACTCATTTTTTTCTGTATTTTTATGTAACAAGAAGCTCAAGAGACCAATGATGATTACTAATGTAGGACAAGCCATGATATTTGTACTAGGAAAGGCAGCTATTAATGAACAAAGTAGAGGAGGACATACACTGTGCTACAAGGCTGGGACACACTTCAGTCGGTTTGAGGAAAAATATTTATGAAGTGGGTGTGGCTTTTGTTCCTAAATATCCCTAAACCAGCACCTGCAGCCTCACTCAGAGATGCAAATATGGATAAATATGGATAGCATTTCTCTTCTTGAGAGGAACAAACTTGGAGGGGTGAGATTAGGGCAGGGTAGGGGAGACCAACTCAGTACCATTTCTTCAGTGACTCTCCCACTAAGCTATGTCAAGGCAGAATGATGGTCATTTAGAAAAGGCTTGGCAGCAGCCCACTTGATCACAGATGGAAAGTTAAAATGACCTTTTAAGGTCAAAGCTTACGCAGCCACATAATGCAATTAAAAAAGGGGGGGTAGAATTTTGCCTCCAACTTCTGTGAATAGAGATAAAGCATCCTTATTATTGACTAAAACTTTTTATGGGAATGAACAGAAAAGCAATACTTGTGGTGGCATACAATTTGTGCATTTTGACAATTCTGATTTAATAGCAATGGAGTTTTCTATACTGTAGAAGGACTTAGCCTATCCTCTATGCAGATTCCATCTGCATGCTTCCTTCATATCTTAGCATTTGCTTCGTGCCATGTGATGCTGAGTAGGAATTATTAACACCTCGCCACCACTAATTTTCAGTGCATCTGTCCTAGTCAACCCCTTAGGAAGGAATTTGCTCTTTCAAAGAGAAGCAAAGAGTCAGTTTGTTAGTTGTTGTTGACGTGGGGTTGGTTAGATTTTTTTGAAAGAGAGATGCTTAAAAAAAATCTTTCTCAGAAGTGTCATAAAACACAACATGTAATTTAAAACCCATTTGGATAATTGACTGATTTGACAAGAAGACAACCTTAGAATTAAAGTATATATTAGAATCAAGGAGTGACAGGATGGTATACCACCAGCACATAGCACTTTGCTATTTTGATAGGTGTCTCATAAGGTACTGGAGTGAATATGCATATTTGCCTAATGTTTCTGTAATTTAGATTTCTTTGTTTAGAGCCATGATTGGGGAGTAATAAAGCCTTACAGAAACTCAGGGAGCTGATTGACAACCTGTTTTCAAGGGAAACTGCTGTGTGTGGTATTTTATTTCAAAGCAGAGCATGTTGGTGTAGTTGGTTTTCTTCTGACTATCTTCTGAAATATTTTATTAGGTGTCATCAGAACAAGAGAAAGAACATGAGACTTTAAACCCGAAAAGTGTCACCGAGCCTCTCCCGGTAGCAGACATAAAGAAAAAAACGGAGGGGTTCCAGGATTTTACACCAAGACCCCTGGTGGCCCGAGCAGACCCAGGGAAAGACGGTGAAGCTGACCAAGGTTCCAGCAGTGAGAAGGAAGCCGAGGAGGTGGGCGAGAAGGGCTCTGCACCCCCGCTCCCCAGCACATCCCTCGCCCCTGAAAGGGATCCACCCCCAGCACCTGCGGTCGGCAAACCACCCCTCTCCTCTGCCAGTGCCCTGGTGGACTCAAAACAAGAAGCCAAACCTTGCTGTTTGGCAGAGAACCCCGACAGTGACCTCCAAGACACATCCTTTTCCAGCTTCCCTGCCACGCAGCCATCACTGGCAAGCCAGAATGAGGTAGAAGATGACAAGCTTCCCGCCATGGCCGATTACATTGCCAACTGCACTGTGAAAGTAGACCAGCTGGGCAGTGACGACATCCACAATGCACTGAAGCAGACCCCCAAGGTCCTTGTGGTCCAGTCATTTGACATGTTCAAGGACAAAGACCTGACTGGACCCATGAATGAGAACCATGGACTCAATTACACACCCCTGCTCTACTCCAGGGGCAACCCCGGCATTATGTCCCCGTTGGCCAAGAAAAAGCTTTTGTCTCAAGTGAGCGGGGCCAGCCTCTCCAGCAGCTATCCCTATGGCTCCCCACCTCCTCTGATCAGCAAAAAGAAGCTGATCCCCAGGGATGACTTATGTTCTGGTTTGTCCCCGGCCCACCACAGCCAAAGCACTGACCATATGGCGGTCAGCCGGCCATCCGTGATTCAGCACGTCCAGAGCTTCAAAAGCAAGCCCTCAGAGGACAGAAAGAGCATCAACGATATCTTTAAGCACGACAAACTGAGTCGATCAGATGCCCACCGCTGCAGTTTCTCCAAGCATCACCTGAGCTCCTTGGCTGACTCCTATGTCCTGAAGCAAGAAATTCAGGAGGGCAAGGAGAAACTATTAGACAAGAGGGCACTCCCTCATTCCCACATGCCTAGCTTCCTGGCAGACTTCTACTCGTCTCCACACCTCCACAGCCTCTACCGTCACACTGAGCACCATCTTCATAACGAGCAGGCTTCCAAGTACCCCTCTTCCAGGGACATGTACAGGGAATCGGAGAATGGTTCTTTTCCTTCTCATAAACACCAGGAAAAGCTCCATGTAAATTATCTCGCTTCTCTACATCTGCAAGACAAGAAGTTGACCTCTGCAGAAGCCCCTACAGATGATCAGCCCACGGATTTGAGCCTTCCCAAGAACCCACACAAACCAACTGGCAAAGTCCTGGGCCTGGCTCACTCGGCCACAGGACCCCAGGATAACAAAGGCAGCTCCCAGTTCCAAGTCATCAGCAGTCAGAGCCGAGACTGTCACCCTAAAGCCTGCAGGGTATCTCCTATGACCATGTCAGCCCCTAAAAAATACGCTGAATCGCTTTCAAGATCGGGCAAACCTCACCACGTGAGACTGGAGAATTTCCGAAAGATGGAAGGTATGGTCCATCCTATCCTGCATCGGAAAATGAGTCCTCAGAACATAGGGGCAGCACGTCCCATCAAGCGCAGCTTGGAGGATTTGGACCTGGTGATTGCTGGGAAAAAGGCCCGGGCTGTGTCTCCTCTGGACCCGTCCAAGGAAATGTCCGGGAAAGAGAAGGCCTCTGAGCAGGAGAGTGAGGGCAGCAAGGCAGCCTATGGTGGGCATTCAGGGGGTGGATCGGAAGGCCACAAGCTTCCCCTCTCTTCCCCTATCTTCCCAGGTCTGTATTCTGGGAACCTGTGCAGCTCAAGCCTCAATTCCCGGCTTCCAGCTGGATATTCTCATTCTCTGCAGTACTTGAAAAACCAGACTGTGCTTTCTCCACTCATGCAGCCCCTGGCTTTCCACTCGCTTGTGATGCAAAGAGGAATTTTTACATCGCCCACAAATTCTCAGCAGCTCTATAGACACTTGGCTGCAGCCACACCTGTGGGAAGTTCATACGGGGACCTTTTGCACAACAGCATCTACCCTTTAGCTGCTATCAATCCTCAAGCTGCCTTTCCATCTTCCCAGCTGTCATCCGTACATCCTAGTACAAAACTGTAAGGCCTGCTCTGCCCAGAATCTCCAAATGGCCAGCCTAGTGGTATAGCTTCACACCGAATCCTGGGGTGATAGCTTGCAGAGTTAGAAGTTAGTATTCCTTCTAATCTAGGTGGGGGCATATGATTAGTCCCCAGCCATAGAGGCCAAGAGGGGACGTGAACCTGCCTGATTTTTCTGGGACGACGGCAGCCTGGCTGATCAGTCTTGATCCCCACCCAACACGGATGCCCTGGTACCTCTAGATCATTTGTTTTTTTTTTTGCATCTGGGTCTTTCTGAGGGGATTTATATATATCCAGAAAGAAATTAAGGGACCCCCTCCCCATCTGAGTTTGGATGATCAGGAAACAACCTGGGCAAAAACAGGAGCAGGCTTTTCAAATGGAGGGGCGGGAAAGAGACTGGCAGAACATAGCCAAGGGTTGCCCCTCTTTCCATAAACCTCTCCACGTTCAATCAATGCAATGTATAGAGAAACTTCAGTAGATCTTTCATTTTTGACACTATTAAACAATCCAGAGAAGTAAACACTGTTAAATTAACTGTATATATTTGCTTCTTCAATCCACCAATATCATTGTTTGCTCACCTAATTTATATACAGGTAGTTCAATTTTTCTCCCTGTTCCTCTTGTTCCCCTTCACCACTCCTTTACCCTTTTTCCCCCTTTTTTTAATTAAACATTATCACCTTTGTTTTAAGGTCCTTTGTTTTTGTTTTAGCTTTAGGTTTTTGTTTGTTTGTTTGTTTTAAAAGCTGACTGACTTTCCAAGTTGTTGATGTGTGTGTATAATTTTTTCACATCTTACCATTTTGAGCAGCTTTGGGTGGTCAAGTTATTGTTTACAAATTGAAGCAACTGAGTCTAGTGGAACAAATGAAAACGAAACAATCGGGCACGCAGTGGTGCAAAGAAGGTTCTGTTTTTGCAAACCTGCAACTGGCGGGTTTTGTTCCTCATAAACGGCAGAGTTGAAAGAGTGTACACACTGCTTACCCAGCCAAATGCTTTGCTTTGAAGTATTGGGTTATGTGAAAATATCAAGCATTGTACTAACCTTATCTAGGCTGTGAAACTGTCCTGCATACCAGAGGAATCATAAAAAACCAAAACCTTACTGGCAGCAAACTACCGAATAACAACAGAATCTAGAAGACATACTTATGGGCTGCACAGATATTTTAGGAATTTCAGCAATTAGAACAGGAGCCAGAATGACTTACATTGGTGTTGGCACTGCTCCCATCAAATGATCTGGGAAATGGGGTTGGAAAGAGGATGAAACTCAACTGTCCAGCAGGAGGAGGAGCAACTGAAGGTCTGATCACCGGCCAGCTTTCCTAGACCATGGCCTGTTGAGTTCTAGGCAGTTACTGTTTCATCAACTGGCTTTTGACATTCCCAAGAAGGCTCTCCCTTCTTTGGGAAGTATTGGCATACTGGATTCCATTTCCAAAAAGTCATCCTCTTTGGGTGCATGGGGTGTGAGTTTGGTGTGCGTGCACACACATATAAGGTGGTTCGCATAGGTTTTTTAGCCACCTGGAAGTTCCATCCACTGAACTTTTTTTTTATTGTTGGAAGTGAGTGATCAAGCTGTTCGTGCAATCCAAAGATGGGGAGAATACATATTGCAGTTCTCACCACTTTATTCCATTTGCTCCTGAGATGTAACAGCACGGTGAACACCTTTCCTAACTATCTTGAAAAATGGATCGATAGTGGATTTTCTTTCCCATCCCACCCACCCCTGCTGAAAAATGCTTTGACCAAGTCCCCAGCCCACTCTCCCCCCTCCCAACACTACCAGTAGACTTTAGAACCATAGTTAACCAAGTCTTTTACCTCTGAGATATTTAAGTCTATGAAAATTGATGACAATTTTCAACTTCTAAATAGGTAACAAATAGGTAACTCGACTGCAAAACTAAGCAAAACCAATAACAGAGAAACTGCGGCTCTTACACAAAGCCATGCATGCCGTGCTTTTGTATTGAAAATGTCTCCATGATATGAAGCCAAATATTCCATGTAACATACTTACTATCCAAAGGTGGAAACAAAAGAATGTAGAGATCCAGTGTTAAGAGTTCCATTTGCTTCAATTAATTATTTACCTTCCTGTGGAATAATATATATATATATATGCATATATATATTTAATAGAACCATAGATAGACTAGTAGAATTTAGATTATAAATGTGTGAATGCAGATTATCCTGCTATTGCACAAGTATGAGGGGGGAGGGGGGAAATCTCAATTCCAGCTGGTATCATGCTGGCCAGGACAGGACACATTTAAAAAAAAAAAAGAAAAAGTTGCACTAGATTGAAAGGTCACAGAATCAGAGGACATGGAAGAAAAGTGAACTCTGGTGACTCTGCAGTTGACATGGGCTAGATCTGATGTGGTTTCTATGAGCTCATTTCTCAAAAGAGAAGGGGGCCGATTGTCCCCGGTAGAGCTCACCTATCTATTTGGAATATAGGGTGTGTTGTTTTCCCCTCTACAGTGATTTCAGTGTGGTTTCATCATGTTGGAATTCGATCACACCATTTTCAAACAATGTTAACATAGTCCAGCTTTTGTTTTTCTCATCTCTTCTGAGAGGAGACTCACTGTTTCTGTCTGAGGAAGCCCATGGCCTCGCCAAAACATCAGGATAAATAAAGAGAGATGTGGGTATATGTTCCCAACAGAAGCTGTATGCTATTTGTTTTAAAACTCTGAACAGAGATCTTGGAAATCTTTCAAAAAGAAAAAAAAAACCAATACTGAATTCTTCATTGGCTGAGAACCACATTTTAAAAAGTCTTAAATAGGGCTTTGTTTGCATTGTTTGAGTTCAAGGGGCCTTATTATTGAATGGAATTGCACAAGTCTGCTTTTGTGCAATCAAACCATTGTTATTGGTGGTTCTATAAAGGAAACTGGAATCTAATTGGCATTGGAGTCATAAATCTATTTACTGAGTGTGGCTTCCAAGAAATGTTGCAATTCAGAATGCACAAAGTCCATGATTTATTGGAGATTCAGAGATTCCAAATAATATTTTTCAAAAACCTTACCATATGAACTTCTGGTCCAGCTTTTGGCAACTCAATATTTTTTTCTTCAAAAAATTTACTTTTAATTAAAAAAAAAACCCAGCCCAACCAAGTTCTAGAACTAAGTATTATTCTATGAATGATTTGAACTTGGAATATTTGCCACAGGACTGACTTTATTTATTTACTAGCTAGAAGCTCTTTTAAGTTCACTTGTTTATCAGGGCATATACAGAAGGGTTTCTCCAAACTCAAATGCTGACTGTACAACTTTCTGACCTGGTGCATGAATTCTCAAGTACTGTATTTCACTGTGTTCGTGTGTCTGATGAACATTTTAAGGTGATCCCACAAAAGAAAAATATTTTGTGTAGTGTGCCTTCAAAGAGAACCATTTATTTCTCTTCACTTGTCCCACAAAGTCACATTTGGTGGTGGTTGGCCAAGTCCCCTCTGGTCTGGTTTTACTCTTGTCTCAATTTTAGAGAGAAATAAGAATGATTTTGCCCTGGTGAGACCCACACATTACAATCATGATCCTGAGCACTTAAACTCCAGTGCTGACTATTGATGTATTTGATATTTCTGCTTGTCTCCCCATGGTTGAAATATGTCTGAAGAATAGCAGCATAATCTCTTGGCTGTTTATACTTTTTTAAACTTGACTGTGTTGTAAATATTGTATACTTTTGGTGATTCCAGCTATGTAACCTCTATGCTCTGTAAGGTGATGATTTGTATATAGTACCATGGCCCAGTGATATTATATAGTTTCCCAATGGAGAGGTTACTGAGTAACCTTTGCATTAGTTTAAACACTACCAGATGAATGCTGAGCCAACTATAAACACTCAATTTTGTATGTTTTCCAAATTGTACTTATTACTGCTTTTGATACTGTATTACGTGCCAATAGTTTCCCAATCACATAGCAGGCAAGAGATATTTTGTACTTTTTGATCCACTGTAATATTTAATAAAAAATGTTACTATCTGTTTCTTTTTGCCTGTCTGTCACTTCTTCCTAAGGAGCCCTGTGGGACTGTCTACCTTCTGGTCTCTAAATTGCATGACGATGATGACGATGATGATGATGATGAAGAAGGAAAGGATGTCTGAAGGATATTAGTCAGTTACTATATATTATCTCTAATCTTCACAACCTCACGTGAACATGGCTGTGTCCATTTTACTGATGAGAAAGCCAAAACAGCAACTTGCCCATGAGTAACAAATGACAAGGTCAGGACTTGAACCCAGGGCTTCCACAAAAGTTCCTGTTTATTAGATCAGTCAACAAAGATGTACTCATGTCTCAATTGCTAGGTAATACTGGTGAGAGGTCTAAATACAATGACAAGCAAAAGATAAACATCTCTGGAACTTAAATCTCATGGGAAAGAGTTCATCTAGTAGTCCCCCCTGTATATGTGAAACCTCAGCCTGACCTAGTTCTGGGGTAGAAGAGTTCCATATCTGAAGTGACACATGTAGAGGAAGTGGTGACTAACGTGATACATGGAAGATGAGCATGAGCTGAGTAGGTAAGAAAGAATTGGGAAAGAAGTCATTCAAGCACAAGGTAAGATGTGTGTAAAGGCCCCGAGGCAGGAACCTGTTTGTCTTCTTATAGGAATAGAGGGGAAAAGGCCTTTGTGGCATAATCATGATGCTGAGGGAATGAAGTTAGGTGAGATTAGAATGCCCCAAGGAACACAGCTCATTGGTCTTTATCCAAAACAAGACGAGAGATGAAGTGGGGAGGTGACGTGTGAAGATTTGTCTTTTCTAACACCACTCTCCAGAGGGCTACCGCCCGCAGGCCTGGCTAGCAGCCTGACATCAAGGCAGTGGTCATTTTTGACTAAGCCGGTGGAATAGAATAGTGGGCACATTTCAAAGTTAGTTGGGCAGAAAAATGAAAAGGATTAGTGATGATGAAGGGAGACAATTGATGGTGGAATATTCAGGAAGGTGAAAACTCTGGGAAAAGTACTCTAGAGGCTGAATTCTATGTCTTTTATTTCTAAACCTAGGGGTGATGGACAAAGATTTCTAATTTTTCCCTTGATCCTCTACCTCTAACGATTCCATTGGCTTGGCTTAGCTTACTATTAGTTGAAATGAGGTGTTTATAAAATAATATGCTGTGCTTTCTCTGTATAGTGAGACCCAGAGGTGAGGAAGAAAGGACATGGATCAGGACATGACTTTGTGAACAGCCTTGGCTTAAGACTCCACCACCTGATCAGGCCTTTGAATAAACAGAAACGAAAGCATAGCAAGCACGTTATCTGAACTCTGGAGGAGAAAGAAACCTACATTTTAGGCTGAGCACAGGTGGCTCACACCTGTTATCCTGGCTATTCAGGAGGCTGAGCTCTAAACATCATGATTCAAAGTCGAGCACAGGCAAGAAAGTCCGTGAGACTCTTCAATTCATCACCTAAAAGTCAGATGTGAAGCTTCTGACTCAAGTCGTAGAGCACTGGCCTTGAGAAAACCAATCAAGTAAAAACAGGAGGCCTTGGGTTCAAGCAGTGCCGGTAATAAACAAAAAATAGAAGCCTACCTTCTGATTGAAAGGTACAGAACCCTTTTGCTCATTTTGGCTGAGTCTGAAGGCCTGCCCATCCCTCTAGGTTCAGAAGGAACTGCTAGGGGAGGATGTTCACACTGCCCTCCTCTTTCAGAATATCATCCACCCAGCACCCTAAAATTATGAAGGAACCAGCCCCTTGATTCCCTGGCCCTCATTCTAACACACGTGAACCTCACCATCTCATCCAAGGTGAATTACCCTGAGTACATCAAAGGACCACTGTTCCATCTCCGACACATTCGGACTTGTGCTTGTGGCTTCCATACTTGATTCATACACAACAGGAAACATCATGACTTATCTATTATTACCAGGCCTGGTTGGCAAATATTGTTGGGAAGGGATGGTGCTTTTGCTAAAGATGTCCCTCATAGAGCAAAAGCAATGAAATTGACCAGTGATACATTCCAGGAAAGTGGCCAAAGTGGACAGATGTTTTAGGTCTGATAGTGATAAGGAAATAGACAATTTTTTATATATATCAACAAGTACATGAGGGGCAGAGATGTTAAAGAAAGTATAACCTTCGTGGATTGACCTAAAGAGCACACTAAATCACATTCATTTAGGCTTCCTTCATTAAAATTCCTGAAGTTTTCATTTTCCAGGCAGAGGATTAAGAACATTGTAAAGCATTTAACCTGCTTCAAAGAATAAAGAATATTTAATCACTCTGGCCATGACCATAGCCTGTCTCCTGTGTGTGAGTAGTTTGCTGGTTCCCTGAGTAGTTAGACACTACTACATGGATTAATCTTAAAACTCTCTCTAGAGCACAGATGTCTAAATAAATTTCCTGGGATGGAAAGATTGAAAAATTCAGTAGCCAATAGATTGGTGTGGCTACTGAACCACTAAAATGTGCTTAGTAGGGGCTGGGAAGGTGGCTCAGTGGTAGAGTGCTTGCCTTGCATGCCTGAGGCCCTGCGTTCGATTCCTCAGCACCACGTAAGCAAAAAAAGCCGGACGTGGCACTGTGGCTCAAGTGGTAGAGCGCTAGCCTTGAGCCAAAGAGCTGAGAGACAGCGCCCAGGCCCAGAGTTCAGGCCCCACAACCACCACCACCAACAACAACAACAAAGAAATGTGCTTTGTACCACAAAGGAACTTACTTTCATTCTATTTTGTTCTCTTTAGTATGAATTTAAATATTCACAGATTGCTAGTGGATATTTCCTAAGACAATACAGATCTAGAAGCCCCAGCTGGCCAGTGCACATATAGAGTTAGCCCCACTTACAGAGAGGTCGTTAGATGCTAATTAACACAGCAAAGCAAGTGACATGGTGCCTTTTCTTAGACAAAACTGTTCATTAGGATTGACAGTGGACCTTACACTATTTTTCACTCAGGATTTATACCTAGATGCTTAAATACCTACTAAATGATAAAGTAAATTATTGAGCAAGCATTACAAGATATCTACCATTACAGCACCTTGGAACTCACAGCACAACCTTCTATATTAAATTTGCTTGGTGATATTTGAATGCAACTCTCAGGAAGTCTGGGAAAGGCTATATGTGACTAGGAGGGCACTCAGTGAGAGAGAGAGAACCAGGTAGGAAGAGGAAGAACTAGAGACCATGGAATGGATCCATGGTAAACCTATCTTCAGTGCTCTAGAGCCAGTTCTTCAAATCTGAGTCTGTTGCCTCATGGCTCTTTCACACAGCAGACCAATGACAGCTAATGAGTTTGATTGGCTATGCCACCTGGGATTGTTTAAATGTTTTAGTTGGTATTAATTCACCTGATCCTCATTACTTTCCGTGGGTGTAAATATGATATCAATTCCTACTTTACAGTTGAGGAAAACAAGGTATAATTAGCTTCTAATATCCAGTCAAAATGAGCAGAGCTTACCCTTTGCACTAGAAAATTCCCTTTTGCCTTCAGTTTGTTCTTATTCTGTGCATCTCCTTCTATAGTCCCTATTCCAATCCTGAAATTCCAGTGAGTAGCCAAAAGCAATGAGTCACAGAAGCCTAAGGTTGTTTGTCAAATGAATGGGACCGAAAAAAGAGAGTGAGAGAAAATAAGAAAAGAGAGATCAATCAGTAATATTAAGAAAGAAAAAAGTAAATGATGCAGTAGACTTTCTAAATGGAAAATAGTACTAGTTTTAAAATTAAAAGTTGGTAAACATGAACAAAAGAGGTTGTTTATTAAAAGAGGTAGAAATGAGCAAAGTTTTCTCAAGAAGAAATAGAAAACTTACATAATTACAAATCTATAAGAAGGCAAGGGGTAGGAGGCATAGCTCAGTTTGTAGAGTGCTAGCCAATGAGCCAAAGCATTAGGTACCAAGGTCAAGTCCTAGTGTCAGACTAAAAAAACAGAAAAGAAGGCAAATGTTTGTCAACAATATAAATACCACAGCCATGGTGCTGGGAAGGTGGCTCAGTGGTAGAGTGCTTGTCCTGCATGCATGAGGCCCTGGGTTTGATCCTTCAGTACCACATATGCAGAAAAAGCCAGAAGTGGCACTGTGGCTCAAGTGGTAGAGCTGAGGGACAGCGCCCAGGCCCAGAGTTCAGGCCCCACAACTGACAAAAAAAAAACACAAAACAAAACAAAAAAAACATAGCCAGATTATTTTAGGACTGCTTTAGACAAATGAAAAAGAGGAAAAGATTGCCAATTCTTTTCATGACTTTGTAACTTAAATACCAAAAACTTAAAATGGACAGTGAAAGATGGTAAACATAGAGACCAATCAATACTTACTACCAGATACAGAAATCATGAGTAAAATACTAGCTATAAATCATGTGCTTATATAAGTATGTATGCACAAACACATACATACATGTACATATGTTCATATGCTAAAACAACATTTTAAGCATATTGTAATAACCTTACATCCTAATGGAGAGTTTATTCTAGAAATACAAAATGATGTATTTTAAATAGTATGTATACTAATCAACTAAGCAAGATGTTAAACTATTGGAATAAAATTAAGTTGGATCCTTTCCTTAAACATACCAATGAATTCCCGTGGGTTAAGGATTACAATATATAATATGAAACCATAAAACTGCTATCTTGAAGAGAAAATTGGATAATCTTTTATATGGCCTTGAGATAAGAAAAGCCATTCTAACCATGACTTGAAATTGCTCTGCTAACCATTGAAAACAGATCGATCATTTTACCTACATAAAAACAAATCTTCCACGTGCAAAAAATAAACAAATTCAAAACATTTAGTTTATTTTGTGAATAGATATTTGCAACTCAATACAAAGGGATCATTTCTTTAATAGATAAAGGGTTTCTAGAAGTCATGAGAAAGGGAAAATGACAATAATAAGTGAACGGTTGAATTATTATTATTTTTGTTCAGTGAATTTTGATAAATGGATTCAGCCAAATAGCTGTCTAGCAA